TAGAGTTTTGATGCATTTATCATCATGATTCCTGCTGACGACAACAACAATAATTATATAAAAAGAAACACTTTAGTTCCAGTTTTGACAGTTCCCCAAATACCTTTAAGAAATATTTATTCTAAGTAAATCAGTTTTACAATTCTCTTGATCTTTTAATGCTATAATAAGTTTAATTTAAAGAAATGTCCATATATTCCAACGATGGTCACTACATTTGATATCAGTTAAAGATTTCCGTCTGTCCCTGAGAGCATACATGAGGGTTTGATGTTCAAATGTGTGAACCTAATTCTTAATTTTAAAAACACTGAAGTTGTATATTGTATAATATTTCTGATGTGAAAGATCAAATAAGCCATCATAATTAAAATGAACGTGACAGAGGCCAGAGGGCCGACACGATCGCGGTCAGCTGAGAGGAGAGCAATAACAAAAGCACAACATTCTGACATTTGATCACTGGCACACGGTCCAGTTTCAGTCCCAAGTTCAGGTTAATAATTCAGTCAGGGAGGCGCCGGCCGGACGAAGCTAAAACGGGTCAGACGTCAACAAAACTCAGCTGTTTGACTTCCTGGATCTAAATGTGCTGAAGCGATCAGCTGAATGTGATCAATACAGCCGATCAGGTGTGTTTGTACTGGAGACACGACCGGATGCTGGAAGTCGAAGCCACAAAGTATGAAATCCCTCTAGTGGCTGTTTGTAGAACAGTTTTTAAGCCCCGCCCCCCGACCAAAATGAGAACATGGACATGACGAGCAGCTTTGTACCAACAGGCTCTGACAGTCTTTTTATCCAGGATCGCTTTTTGTTGGTTTTAACAGAAACACACGTGTTTTCATGACAGAAATATGAATTCTTGGAGTTTTATGTTACTCGTGTTATTTTGTGATTTCCTCAGTTTTGGTGCGATTTCAACAAGTCATGCATCAAAACGTTCAGCTCCTCCAGGACATTCCTGCTTTTGGTATTGGTGCAATTTCTGTTTCAGCTTTGGCTCCTTTTATCTTCTATCTGCTCGTTTTAGCTTTTAGTTTCATTCGGCTAATTTCATTTTTTTCAGCTTCTTTCTGCCAAATTCAGCTTTTTCAACAACCTTTTTTTTTTTTGCTAATTTAGCCTTTTTCTGCTATTTTTCCACCATTTCTGCTTCTTTTGAATAATTTTCACATTTAATGCTCCTTTCAAGTCAAGTCAAGTCAAGTCATATTTATTTATAGAGCACAATTTAAAACAGATAGACTGTTATCAAAGTGCTTAACACTAAGGGTAACACTGAGAAATAAAAAGCAGTAAGAATATACCTTAAAAAATTAAAACAACAGCATTAAAATGGACATGGAACAAGATATATTAAATCAACTCACACAGTATGAAACGCCAGAGAGAACAGATATGTTTTTAGCAGGGATTTGAACACAGGAAGGGAGGTGGCATGCCTAATGTTGGGGGGTAGGTTGTTCCACAGTTTGGGACCCATGACTGAAAACGCCCGATCTCCTCGGAGCTTCAGTCGTGTTTTTGGAACAACCAAAAGCAGCTGATCGGATGATCTCAGAGCCCGAGAGGGAACATATGGTTCCAGTAGCTCAGAGAGGTAGATGGGTGCGAGGCCATTTAGGCACTTATAGGTCAGGAGGAGAATTTTGAAATCAATCCTAGTTCTCACAGGAAGCCAGTGTAGGGAGGACAGAACTGGTGTGATGTGCTCATACCTCGGTGTACCGGTTAAGAGCCGAGCTGCAGCATTCTGGACGAGCTGTAGCCGTGAGATAGAGGCCTGGCTGACCCCAGCATACAGTGAATTACAATAGTCCAGGCGGGTTGT